CCCCCGGCTGGGCTGGCCCCGGAGCCCGGCTGCGGCAGCAGTCCTCCTCCTCCAAGGGCGACAGCCCCGAGCTGAAGCCTCGAGCGGTGCACAAGCAGGTCAGTGTGCAGGTGGAGGGCAGGCGTGAGGGTGGTCCTCCCCAGGCCGTGCTGCTCCTCCCGATCATTTCATCTCCCCTCACCCAGCTGCCATCCCATGCTGATGATGCCACATTCAGCCCCAGCCCACCACATGCACCTCTCCTCTCCCCCGGCCCTGCTGGCCTCTGCCTCAGTCCTGTGAACCAGGACACTGCAGCCTCCAGGTCCCTCTGCCGTTTCCCCCGAGACAGCTGGGGTCAGGGAGAGAGGGAGGGGTCAGACCATCTTCAGTTCTAAGCCTGTTGATGCCCTGCCCAGGGTCGGACTTGACCTGTGACCTGCTCAGAGCTGGCCTCCTGAGCTCAGCTGCCACGCGTGCTTCCTGTCACCCAGGGGCTGCACGCAGTACATGGAACTGTCCTGCTTTGGGTAGAGCGCCTGGTCTTCCCGGGCCAGCTCCCCATTCTCACCTGGGCGCTGGACTCTGCCCCAGGCTGCCGGCTGGGAGCTGGAGCCTCCTCGGTCAGGCGCTGCTGCCTCAGTAGGTGCCCGGTCAGCTGCAGGTCCCCTCCCTTCTCCTGTGCCTCTGAGCCACAGGTTCTCATGGCTCCCCGGGTGCTACTCCCACCTCCTACCCTCCCCCTGCCGCCTGCCAGCCCTCACAGCTGTGTTTCATTGTAGGGCCCTTCACCTGTGAGCCCCAATGCCCTGGACCGCACAGCTGCTTGGCTCTTGACCATGAACGCACAGTTGTTAGAAGACGAGGGACTGGGCCCAGATCCCCCCCACAGGGATAGGCTAAGGAGTAAGGAGGAGCTCAGCCAAGCAGAAAAGGTAACGCTGGACCCTGTCAATTTGGGACAGGGAGGGGCTGCATCCCTTGGCAGCTGGCAGGATTCTTCCCCCTTGAGACCTGAGTGAGGGGGCACTGCTTGCTCCTGCAAATGGCCAGGCCCCTCTCAACCCCTGGTTTCCTGTGAGGACAGCAGCCAGTGGGATCTGGAAGAGCAGCAGGAGGGTTTAGGTTAGACCTGAGGTTTCCCACACGGGCTGCACGTGAGACTCAGCTGGGACTTGGGGGTTGAGGGTGCCAAAGAGGTGCATGGAGACCCTGAGGGAGCCTCGTGCATGTGGCAGTGGAGGCATGCGTCCCCGAGACAGCTGGGAGGGTGCCCCAGCCAGGCCCCTCCACTCTGGGCTGTGCCTGCCCAAGGCCTGGCTCTTTCCCAGTCCCCTTCTCCTCCGGGGGGAAAGGTGGTTCTAAAATACCCACGTTCCACCCACCACACACATCTGGCCTTTGGTGGGCAGTGGGTGCCTCCCATTCTCCCAGTGGTGTGATGGCTGCCCTGGATCCATGGCTGGTTCGAGGCCAGAGCCCAGGTCTACCCGTGCGAGGCCCCCAGGCAGCAGTCACTCCCCCTCGCACTCTCAGCCCCAGGAAAGCCTGTGGCAGCCTCAGGCAGGGCCGTGGAGTCAGGCGGCAGCTCCCTCTCTGGCCTAGGGCGAGGTCCATGTCCATGCTGCATGCCGCCCCCTCCCCGTGGCCCACCGCATCCACCTGCTTTCTCCATAATTACGTGAGGGGGACATGGGGCATCGTGCTCCGAGAGCCACTGCTTGGCTGGGGAGCAAGGAGGGCCAGCCTCTCCCAGGCTTCCTGCGTGGACCCGGGGCCAGGCTCGGTGCCTTTCTGAGGCTCAGACTTCCATGTGTGAATTGCAAGGATGGCCTGAACGCTCCTCGCTCCTCGGGCCAGGCTGGAGTGCCCTCCTTCCTCGTCCCTTGGCTGAATGAGCTGCTGCTTCTCTCACCCACTTTGCTACTAACCTTCACAGGCAAATCCAGGAGGCCTTTGTCCCTGAGCTCCCTGGGGACCTGGTTCTGCCTCTGGCAGGCCCTCCCCTCACTCCTCTGGCCCGCTGAGCAGGGGTGGGCAGAAGATCTGGGGTGGAGCCAGGCTCCCCTGGGGTCAGCTTTGCTTCAGGGATTACATTGGAGGTGGATCTCTGGCTTTGCTGCCCTCTGACCTCGGGACAGTCCTTTGCTGTTGAGAGAGTTGGGCTCCTCTTGCCAGACTCAAGCAGAGGCTCTTCCTGCCTCCCCCAGCCTGTGTTCTCACAGCACCTTGGCCCCAGCCCCCGACTCCGGCATCAGCCTGCCTTGCCCTCTGTCCAGCCCGCACAGCCTCCTAGCTTGCTGTTTCTCTTGCTGCCTTACCCATCCTTGACTCCCCCAAAGGCTGAGCGTGCTGCACCGAGTCAGATCCAGAAAGCCGGGCCACCTTGCCCTTAACATCCCCTTCCCCTTCCCCCACCCCCTCACTTTCTCCCACCACCACCCGGCTTTAGGGTCAGACAGAGGCTGGGAGGCTGGATCTTACCCCACTGGTCACTCTACTCATGTGACTCGGTCACTTGCCTTCAGAGCCTCAGTTTCCCCTCCTACAGAGCCCCCATCTCACAGGGAACTGTCAAATCTCCTTAACCGTTGTTTGCTATAAAAAGCTAAAGATCTTAATTAAATTTACTTCTGAGTCTTCATCCCCTTCACAGCTGTAAGGTCAGACGAGGGGGATGGGAGTTTGGAGTGGAGAGAGCCCCGGGTGGGGGCATCTCCTCACAGTGGGAAGTGAGCTGGGGTGGGGACAGTCCCCGGGGTATTCCGACCTGGGTTCCCTCCCACCCTGGGCGCCTGCTTGGGCTCACGCGGCTGTGCTCTCTGTCCTGGGTGCTGTGCTGTGGCGCGCTGCCCTCCTGGCAGGACCTGGCAGTGCTGCAGGACAAGTTACGAATCTCCACCAAAAAGCTGGAGGAGTATGAGACCCTGTTCAAGTGCCAGGAGGAGACGACGCAGAAGCTGGTGCTGGAGTACCAGGCGCGGCTGGAGGAGGGTGAGGAGCGGCTGCGGCGGCAGCAGGAGGACAAGGACATCCAGATGAAGGGCATCATCAGCAGGTGAGGGGTCCTGTTCCTGCTCTGGGTCCAGTCCTGGCCCCACACAGCCCTCCAAGGAGGCTCCGGGGAGGGGCTGACCAGCTGCAGGGTGAGTGGAGTGTGGAGACAGGAAGGAAGGAAGGGTCGCAGGGTGAGTGGAGTGTGGAGACAGGAAGGAAGGAAGTGTCCCCGGTGGAGGGGACTGTGGCACAGGTCTGGAAGTAGAAGGTAGCCTGGAGTGTGGGAGCCCCACAGGGTACAGTGTGTGCTGATGGTAGAATGCAAGCCAGGCCTGGCGGAAGTGAGGTCAGCCGAGGCCAGCTCTGGGAGGACCTGTGGGCCCTGTATGGAGTCCCACTTCCTTGGTGAGCACTCGGGAGTGCAGAAGCCAGATTGGAGGTGCCAAGACAGACAATGAGGACCCAGTTCAGGGCAGGAAAAATAGGAATGAATGTCAGTTACTTTCTGTGGCTGAAGGTGGGAGGTGAGAGGGAGGAAGGAGACAGAATAATCCCCAGACTTTTCTACCAAGAGCATCTGGGTGTGTCGTGGTGCTAATTACTGAGATGGGGAACTTTGAAAGAGCAGCAGTTCAGGTGGGGAGAGAGAGGGATGGTGATAACACCAGTGTTGGATGTGTTGGGTTTTAAGGTGCCTATGGGTCATACAGGAAGATTTCGGGGGAGGGGGGATGGGTATTAATTCTGACTCATCTTTATTGATGGTTTATATCAGATTCTGCGTTGATTCCCTCCCTCCCTCTCTCTCTCTCTTTCTCTCTCTCTCCCCCTACTCTTGAGTAGGGTGGGAGCACCTTTGTGTCTGTGGGCAGGGAGTGCAAAGTGTAGCATCCAGGCCAGCCCACAGAGTCCCAGTCCTGGAGTTGACTTTCTTATGACAATAATACCAGGTACAAGAGCCTGTCATATGGACAGGTTTCACAGGAGTTCAGTAGCCAGGATGTTCCCCAGCACACCAGGCTTCATGCTAAATTTATTCACTACAAAAACACTCCCCAAATTCCTCCTATTTAGACGACCTGTTTTTCTGCTCCTAATTATTGTTTGATTTACCTCTGGGTTTGTTCATTGGAAAATGGTTAGCGTGAGCAGAGGGCCTGTAACCAGGGTCACTAGAAACCCACTGTCCACTTGACTGCCAGCTCTGCTCTTTGCTCTCTTCACATGTGTGGTCACAAAAATGGAAGCACTTTCCACCTAACCACCTCCTCTTTGTGTCTGTTCGCCGAGAGGTGCATGCTTTCCTGAATTCAGTGGCTTATTTAACACATTTATCTCTACTAACCAATCCTGGCATATTTCCTCCCTAATGTAAATGTCAGTTAAGTTGATCGTGTTGTTCAAGTCTTCTGTATCCTTACTAGCTTTTCTGCTTGTTCTGTCAATTACTGGGAAAAGGATTTTGAATTTTCTAATAATTATGGATTTGTCTATTTCTCCTTTTATTTCTGTTGGTTTTTGCTTTACGTACACTGAAACACTATTCTTAGATGTATACATATTTAGGATTGTTATGTACTTTGATGAACTGACCTCTGTATTATAAAGTCATCCTCAGCTCTCATAACATTCCTTGCTCTGAAATCATCTTTGATATTAATAAGGCTGCCAGAACTTAAATTTAAATTATAGTATTAGCCTGGTATATCCCTTTCAATCCTTATACTTTTAACCCATGTTTATGTTTCTATATAAAGTGAATTACTCTTACAGACATCTTACTGTTGGTTCTTGCTTTTTATTTGATAGTTTCTGCCTTTTAATTGAAGTGTTTAGACCATTTACATTTAATGTAATTGTCAATATAATTATGTTTAAACCTATTATCTTGCTACTTGTTTTGTATTCGGACTGTTTTATTCCCTTTTTCTGGCCCTCTTTTGTATTTTTTATGATTCCATTTTATCTCCTATTGGTTTATTAGCTAATCTCTTTGTGGTTGCTTTAGGACAGGAGTTAGAAATTTTCTGTTAAGGGGCAGGTGATAAATGTCTTCAGCTTTGCAGGCCATTTGGTGTCAGTTGCAACTATTCAACTCTGCTGTTACAGCAGAACTGTTTGTGTGGTGTGGCTATTTACAAACACAGGCAATAGGCCTGCTTTAACCTTCAGGATATACCAGGCTAATACTGGCTTGTAATAATGGGCACTCTGTCATTACCTTTGTTCCTCTGTATTTAGCATACCTTTTTCCTCTGGCTGTTCTTAAGATTTACTTACTTATCACATTGGTGTGGTTTTCTTGGGTTTGTTGAGCTCTTGGATCTGCGGGTACATAGTCATGCCTCCTCAGTTTGCTTTCTGGGACTCCCATTGCACATATGTTGGGCTGCTTTATATTGCCCCACATCCCACTGATTCTATGTTGTTTCCATTCTTCTGTCTTTTATCTTAGATCATTTCTATTGCTCTGTCTTCAAGTTCTCTAATCATTTCTTCTTCGGTGTCTAATCTGCTAAGTAATTCTATCCAGTATTTTTTTTTTTATCAGCTATTATACTTTTGCCTCTAGACTTTGGTTTTAATTCCATATACTTCTCTTTATGCTCATGCTTTTCTATATTTTCTTGAACATGTGCAATGTATTTATAATAGTTGTTTTAATGTCCTTGCCTACCGATTCTATCATCTGACATTTCTGAGTCTGTTTTTACTGATTAGTTTTCTTCCTTCCTGGTTATGGGTTATGTTTTTCTACTTCTCTGCATTTTTGGTTGGATGCCAGACATTGTGAATTTTACGTACGTGCTGGATGTTTTGTGTTCCTTTCAATATTCTGGGCTTTGTTCTGAGACACAATGAGGTTATCTGGAATCACTTTTGGTTCTGTTGAAGCTTACATTTACACTTGTTGGGCGGGTCCTGGACAGCCTTTAATCGAGGCCCAATCTGGCAGTTTCTTTCTGGGGATCCCACTGGAGGCCTCCTGGGTTAACAACGTCTTTCCACTGTGCTCGGAAGGAACGTGCACAATTCCTGGAGTGGTTTTGTGAACTTTACAGTGGTTCTTGTCCCCGCCTGGCTGTTTTCTCACAGGCATGCAGACCAGTCCTCAGCCAAAGACCTAAGGGGACCCCTCAGGAGACAGGTGGCCCTCTCTCTGCATCTTCCTCCTGTCCGCACTGTCCTGTGAATCCCAGTGCCCCATCTCCTGCCCTCCCTGGGTCTCCTCCATCCTGAGGTCGCTCCCTCCTTTTGTTTGGCCTGGACACTCCAGGCGCTGGACGGGGCTCACGCTGCAAGTTCCTTTCTTGTAGGGATCACTGGACTGTGCTGCCAGTTATTTAGTATCTGGAAAACTTTGTTCTATAGGTATTTTATCTGGTTTTATAGTTTTTTAGTTATTTTTTATGGCAGGAGGATAAATCTAGTCCCTGTTATTCCACCATAGCTGGAAACAGAAGTCTCCCCCCAGTCTAATTTCCCTTCTAATGATGCCATCTACTGCCTTTCTTCCGCCTCCCCCCACCCCCTCTGGTAGGCTTTGTTCCATGACTGCCTTCCTGTGACAGGAACCCCCCGTTGACGTGGCCCCACACTCCTTTCTCCTAACTAGTGCTCCCGACCCATTGACTTCTCATGACAGCCCTGTGTGGTGCCTGCCCAGCTCCGTTGAACTCCCTGTGCACCTACTGTGCGTGAGCTGAGTGCTCACCTAGGGGACGGGAGCTGCTGCTGGGCTGGGGAGGAAGCCGTGGGAGTGTATGAGCTCATCTGAGGAGTGTTTGTAGAGCGAGAAGAACGGAGAGGAAGCAGAGCCCTGACATCCTAGGGGCAGCCAGGACATGGCATCTGCCAGCAGTGGCCTGGGAGCTGGCAGGGAGACCCAGAGAGTGTGGGCTTCAGAAGCCAAAGGAAGGGAGTTGGGAGGTAGGAGTGACGGGGAGTGATTGACAGTTGTGGGAGAGACCAGCAGGACGAGGCCGGGAAGGGTCTCAGGAAAGGAGCAGCTGGTGACGGACCCACACCTGCCTTAGCTCTGAGCCTCTGCAGATGGCATCCCTCCCGTCTTTTCTGCTTGTTTCCCACCCGCAGACCTTGTCCTTCAGATGTCCAGTTCCGTGTGTGCACCCCCTTCCCGCTCTGTCCCATGGCCCTGAGCTGCCCGTGCAGGGCGTAGCTACTGTCTCTGTCTGTGTCCCTGCTGCCTAATGAGTGCCTTGAGGGGAAGGACTACACTTCATTCATCTCGCTACCACGCGTGCCCGGCACAGCCCCATGAATGCAGAGGGAGGAGAGAGCTCTAGAGTCCTCCAGGGTCTCCATCTCCCCACCCAGACCACGTTCCCACGACCTTATACCACCTGCCAGGCTCTGGAGGATGGGGAGGACCGAGCACCCACGCCCACCCTCCTGGAAGAACATCAGGAAGGGGACAGCCCCAGGGTCTTCTGGGGAATTGGAAATGGAATTGGGGGACAGTGTAAGGAAGGAGTAGGTCCAGCCCACGCTGTGGCCAGGGGCCAGCTGGAGGGCCTCTGTCCCAGGCACATGTCTCCTCGGCCGGCGTGGTGACCTGCGCCCACAGGCCCACACCCACCTCCTCATCTGCTCCCTCATGTGCCGACTGTCCTTACCTCTGGCCACAGGTTGATGTCAGTGGAGGAGGAGCTGAAGAAGGACCACGCAGAGATGCAAGCAGCTGTAGACTCCAAACAGAAGATCATCGATGCCCAGGTGGGGGGCTCTGGCCCTTTGATCGGCCACAGGTGGTAAAGGACCTAGGATAAGGGGGGTGACTTTGGCTTCTCCATATCCTTAGTCATACCCCACTGCAAAAGCTGCAGAGGAATAGGAGAACAGATCCTTGCCCTGGGAAGTCAGACTTGAGGGTCTCAGTGGACCACAAGCTCACTAGGACAGGTTGTGAAAGGGGTAGGGCAACTCCTCCCCTACTGAGGCAACATGGTAGGTATTGCCTTTCACCAGGGGTGCTAACCGAAGAGTGGATCTATTGGGAGGTGAATGGGGAAGTCTGGAGGTGGCACAGGGAGTGGGAGGGGCTCTGTTCAGAGCTGTGGCTTTCCAACTGCATTGAGAGGAGAGACATGTTAGAGGCTTTTGGCCTCCTTCCCCCAGGCCTGTTCCCTTTTCCTCTCAAGCGCCCAGAAATAGGGCCAGTCCTTGCAGACTGTAAACTGCACACAGGACCAGGAGCTGTGACCTCTGCATGTCACGCATAGGCACAGGGCACCTGCCCTCCGGGCCTCGGGTGGCTGATGGATGACACTAGAGCTGCTCTGTTGAGGATGAGAGGCAGGCGATGTGGTCGGCGTTAGAAAGGCAGACTCCAGGAGGTCGTGGCCCATGACGGCAAGGCCACCCTGCCCCACTCGCCCACTGCTCCACGGGCCTCTCCTCCAGGCCACATTCCTCCCGCCCCAACATTCCTACAGGCACACAGCCCCAAGGAGATGCTTCCCCTCCCTGACCCCATCTCACGCCCTCTTTGTCCACAGGAGAAGCGCATCGCCTCCCTGGACGCCGCCAACGCCCGCCTCATGAGCGCCCTGACACAGCTGAAAGAGAGGTACAGCATGCAGGCCCGTAACGGCATCTCCCCCACCAACCCCACCAAATTGCAGATTACCGAGAACGGCGAGTTCAGAAACAGCAGCAATTGTTAACCTGCCCGAGGAGAGGGAGGACTGTGGTGGCCCAGGGCCGGGCCTCGGCCTGGGGAGGAGCACCCCACAGTTGCAGCCCCAGCGCGGGGGGCAAGAGGCCGAGGCTCGTCTCCCGTGCCCTCCGTCCACGGTCCCGGAGGCGGCCACAGAGGGAGCCGAGAGAGACTGACGCAGCGGGAGCCCTCTCTCTTCTGCCCAAGAAGCGTGTTGGGTTCAGGCGAAGAGACTGCACGCGGGGAGTGGGACAGCCTGGCGGGAGCGGGGGCGGCCAAAACCTGTCTCCGTTGATTATTGAATTTGGTGTGTGTCACCTCTCCTTCTTGACCTGGCCAAGTGCATGTACCCCTCGCGCTCCCCAAGGAGGGAGCTGCCCGGAGGGGTGGGGGGGTTAAAGAGCTGGGGCCCAGGCTCCCTGGCAGCCAGGCCCCTCCCTGTGGGCCCTGCCCTGCAGTTTCAGGAGCTGACAGGTGGGGGGGTGGGGAGGATGGAGCTGCCTGAGGTCCGTGTCCCCTGCCCAGCTCTGAGCACCTGCCACTGCATGCAGCCTGTCGGGGACCCTGCTGTGAGGAACCGAGGATCACCCAGACCTGTCCCCACATTCCCGCCGCCTCCTCCCTCCCTCCCTCCTTATTCTGCCAAAAAGACCCAGGGAGGCTCCGTCTGTCCTCTGGACCCTCGCACCTGTGGGCCTTTGCCCCGCATCAGAGCCTCCGCCCGGGCCAATGTCTGGGGCTCCCAAAGCCAAAGACCTGGGCAGCGTTGGCCCAGCAGCACTGCTTGCCCTCCTGTGGCCCTGCAGGGAGTGGCCGCTGGGGCCCATCCTGAGAGAAAGGCTGAGCTCTAGGGTTAAAGAATTCTAATGCCCACAACCCTGGGCAGGCGGATAACTGTGATTTCTTTTCCTTTCGCAGTATGCATTAGAAACAAAAGCCCGCTCGCTCGCTTGCTGGAACACAGGGGCCTTTTAAATTGAGTGTGCGCACTGCATGGGAAATAGCGGCCCTGGAGGATGTTAGACTTGCTCCCTCTCCAAGACAGCAGCGGCCTGCACCGGGCCCGTGTGCGGCCGCCGCCTCCTCACCCTTCCCGGGGGCCCCCAGCCAAGGACCAGGCGCCGCAGACAGGGAAGGGGCACACCCCACACAGCTGGGCCCGTTTTCCTCAGCTCCAGGCTGTTCTGTAGCTCGTCAGCCTGCGCCCCCACGTGCGGGACATAGGTGGGCAGGAGCGTGGGTCTCTCTGGGCCCCTCCCTGTTCCCAGCCCCAGCCCTGGATACAAAAGTCGGGCCTTTGCCCCGCAGCAGAGACAGGCTGAGCCAGGGCCAGCCCTCAGCCTCAGCCTCAGCCTCAGGGAGCGAGGAGACCCTTGGAAAGAGCGCCGAGCCCTTCCTGCCCCAGGGGCTGGATACGTGGTGCCAGGGCTGGGGTTGCCACAGAGCCCACCAGGAGGGCGAGAGGGGGAGGGGTGGCCCAGACCACACTGAACCCCGTCCTGGGCCTGGACCATGCTCAGGGAATGGGCTCTGAGACGAAACCTGCAGTACAGTCAGGCCAGGGACACACTGGCGGGCGAGGGCAGCCCCCCAGGGTCACAGACCTCAGGAGGGAAGGCCGTGGGGGCTGAGGCCCTGCTCCACTTGTGGTTCTCACAGGCGGGGCCTGG